GTGGAAACAGTTTGTGTGGCGTCGGTTACACAAATATTGGTTCGACTATTTTTATTGGCGCTCGCGCTTAGACTGGACCGCAGCCATCGGATAAGGTGAAAGAGTCGAGAGCTTAGAATACGAAGGTCACACAGACTTCGTGATAGTACTACACCGCTCAGCAATTCTATAGAGGGGATACGATCATTACACCAAACACCTGAGAGAATAGTGAAGAACTCGCAGTAGAAGAGTAAGTCTTTTGGCGGTGCAGGACACAGTATAAATATGGGCTCAAACCACCCATTAAGTTGAGAATCATCATCAACAACAAAAACATTCCTTCTTTACTTCACCCCACTGCTAGTCAGCATCTTTTCCACACAGTCATTGCTTTACATTCTTTTCATTTCTTTGAAAGAAAAACCACTCCTTTATATTTACATTCACAAGAATAAAAAACCCCCAGCAACAATGAAGTTCCTCAAGAGCATCTCCCTCCTCCTCATCGTCGCCGGCAGTGGTGCCATGGCGCGCCCAACCGCAGGGGACTCTTCCCCCACCCTCGTCACACGCGATTACACCGCCAGCGGTGCCGAGAAAAGCTACTGCTTGTGGCCCTCCCGCTGGAACGTCTGCAACAAGGCCAAAGACCACGGCGCCGAGGCCGCCACCGCCGCGCAGCAAAACTTCTCCCTCGACACACTCCACAACGGGAGGGGCGATGCGTTCCGCCACTGCTACTGGAACGCCCGCATGACCGTCGACATGGGGGAGGGCACGGCCAAGACCTTCGCCGACCTGCACGAGGAGGGCGGTAACGGGCCTGCAGCCGAGAGGGAGATGGATCTGGCGAATAACGCTTCGGGGAGACAGTTCGGGGAGGAGGCCAAGAACGGGGGTGGGGATGATAAGGATAAGTACGCGAGGGCTCTGAATAAGTGTAAGGACGCGGCCAATTCGGGGGCTCTGAAGGTTATCGGGTGATTTTGTGCGCTCAAGGGGGGATGGAATTTGGACTTTCTTTACCGATATATAGAGATACTGGATTCGCGGAGTGCTGGATGGTGATACTTTTGGTTCTTCACGTCGGGGAGATTCACGTTTTCTTTAGCTATTTCTCCTTTTTTTCATTTTACTTCTGGTTATTGATAGTGGAGATTGAGTCTTCCATTTGCTTTTTGATATTTTCGGAACAAGTGTGTGGAACAAAAGGATGAATTCATATTCTAGCGCAAGAATTGTTCGAGTGATTTCGGGTGAATTAATTTGTGAGTGAGAGGCAGTCTTACAGAAACCAGCGATACATGTGCAGTGAGAAATATGTGTGCACAAAGCTTGGTTTATTTAATTAAACTTTCCAGAAAAAAAGAAAGAAAAAACTCCGATAATCGAACTGCGCAGCCATATGAAAGACTGGATTGTGACAAGCTGGCTTTGTCCCCTCCCGACAGGGCTAAAAAATCTCGAAATGGCGTTCTAAGGATCAGTTTGATATCAGTTGGCCCAAAGTCTCTCGTAAAAGTTGGTTCAAAGAGCATCTTGCAGAGGTCCCTCCCCCTCTCCCCCCCTTTTGGTGTACCTAAACAGAATGCTATCCCACCGATCCAGGGAAATGTTTTCCACTTCCAAGTGCACTCGCCACATCCAGAAAGCGAAGCGGAGAGTGGAGAAGAAAAGAAAAAAATTTCATCAGTTGGTGAGGAAATGTGAGGTTCCGCATCTCGTCTATATTCGAGAAGAAATACAAAGCATTATCACACTCCAGGATCGCACTTGAGGTGCACAGTGCAGTGCAGTACCCCCCATCCAAAGCATCTGATGAGATATAGCATGATCCAGATCTCTCTCTACGGCAAAAGCTCCTCACGGCCCAAGACACGTGTTCCTTGATCCTTCCTTGTATATCTCGAGGTCACATCTCTTGTGTTGAGATGGTAGAAACGTTCGCACATCTATGATACAAAAAAATTGTATATTCAAAATGGATGATATTTCGAATATTTCACTGTATACATGCTTTAGCTAAAGATATGATTAATCTCCGCTCTTCCGCGACTTACCCTCCCCCCGTCCAGGAACATGGAAACGAACTACAGAAGACTATAAGGAAACAGAAGGAGGGAAGAAAAGAAGAAATAAATAGCGACGAGAATCACACAAAACGAGAAGAGCAAAGCTATATCTAGAGATTGCTTCAGAACTCCCCTATCCTGGGGCAGTAAGTCGCTACACAATAATGTATCATCGTGTGATGTTTGCTTGTTTTCTCGAAGGTTGGGGGGTAGTGAGTGAGATTACATGATTTAAACCAGAGCGGGCACAGTTAGCGAAATGTCCACGGTCATACAGCAGACCGCAGCGCTGTATTTTTTTTTAAAAAAAAAAAGATAGCCTGAGATTGTGATATCGTACACGTCATTGGCAAAAACCTACTACTGAACACCTCCCTTTTTCCCGCGCTTCCCGACTCCCCAGGGTCCATTCTACACAATTTCGATAAAAACCCAGGTAACTCCAGGAATCGACCAACTGGAGTTTCCAGGAAAGAGAACTCCCTCGCCGATACCCGGAAGAAGGAGAAGCCGAAATCTAGGAATTAGATTTATAGGCTTTGCAATTGGCATAGTTATCTAGTTATGCTTTCTCTCTCTATGGGGTGTGGAAAGGAGGGAGGGGGGGAGGGGGTATACCTTAAAAGCTATCACATCATACTTGACCAAAATTGGAGTCGGCGATTTTGGATCCTTCTTCATATAAACTTGAAGGGGCGCAACACGTATCTCTCCCTCTCTCTGGGGATTACTAGCTCATTAGTGATGGGAACAATTTTTCCTCACCATTGATGAACCCTATCAATCGGTTCCTAGGCAGCGTGCGAAGGAAAAAAAAAAACGCCCATTCATTCAATTGACTGGCCAGCCCTTAAACTAAACCACACTCCCAAACCCGAAGAGGAAAAAAAAAAATGGTAAACCTTAATTAGAGACAAAGCCTGAAGGATCTACGCAACTCTTCCTTGGAACTATCTTTATATCATGCCTGAATATCTCATTCCCAGAGCAAGTAAGGAAACGGCAGTCCGGGTGGTCGACAGTCCCAAGATTCCCCTCGGCTTGCCAAAAAATAGGACTGAATTCGGTGGCCGTAGCATACGGCCTTCCTTCCGAGAGTCGAGATCTATTCCACTAGAGGTAATTTTTCCCAATGGTGTTTGGCAGGATACGGCTACCATTTGAGGAGGGGGGGGGAACAATCGCTGGTGCAGATCGTGATTGCAGCGAGTTGAGTGTGCCTCCATCCCCGAGTTTTTGCCATATAGGCCATACTAAGCTAACGACAATTACCCTCCCCCCCCAAAAAAAATAATTACTGGTAGGGAAATGGATTTATTGAAGATATTGCAGGGGTCCCCATCAGATGGCTTAAGGGGAAGAGGAAACACACTGATGGCTATTGAGCATAACATTGTCACCTCCACGGCACAAATACCTTTCAGGAACCATTTGAGCACGGTTGGCCACGAGGGGTGCTGTAATCCACCTGCATCCAAATATCTCCAGCCACCCAGATCACTCTCCTAGATCCACTAGCCGTATGATACCCACCCAGGAGGACACCCCACACTCCTATAACTCTCCTCAACACCCCTCAATTCCGGACACTTCCACACCCGCAGACATGGCCGATCACTCGGGTTCTCCACGGCTCCGGGATACATGGCCATGTGCGCAGTGCAGGATCCAGCCCCAACCCTTATGATACTTGGCCCGGTTTGTTTTCCAACATCGCCGGGTGATGCTAGGACGATACCCAAGATCACGACACCATACTCGTAATCCCCCTTTCCCCGCACATTGTCCAAGACGATCGACCATCTATCGGGAGCACCACACAGCACGACAACTGCAGAATACCGACTAGTTACTGCTGGCGGAACCAGAACCGCGCACGCGTGAGTGAGTGAGTTCTTAAGAACACGCCTTCAATCCTAGGATGAACCACGAACAGTAAATGACAATCACCACCCAGACCGCGAGAGGCCCCCAACACAAACACAAACAGCGATACAAACAGAAGGAGCAAGAGCGCCAGCCGCACACGACGAACGAAAACCACCTTGGCGAAAATTACCAAACGGCTGAAAGGGGATATGGCATCATCATCATACATACCTCTAAGGAAAAAAAAAAAAATTGAGAAATCGCAGGGGCAAGACGATCAACTCTGACGGCAGCCAGGGAGGGAGCCTTTGAAAAACTTGGGGCTTGTATGATAAGAAAAGAAGTCGGATACGGTGGCATATCTCTTCACCTCTCTCTCCAAACATATCAAACACACCTCCCCATCCCCCCCCCCTTTTTTTACCTCACACAAACGGAAAAAACCACCAAAGCACCACCCCCATAAACCCGACGAAAACCTTCCATATGGCGAAAACAGTCACAACATCACAAAAGATCACTCGCATTTCATGCGGTTTGTCAGCAACCCTCCGTCGACTCGGGATAGCTTTCCTCCTTCCCTCCGCACCTCCCCCCCCTTTTTTTTAAAAAAAACGATATATCCGTTTTCTCCCATTATTTATCCCTCCGTTTGTACATAATCTATCTCTCCGGTCACTCTCCAAACGCTTTTAGCGATAAAGAAGAAAAGAAGAAAAAAAAGGTGAATCTAAGCATCCTTAAGTCATTGGTCTTTGAGACGTCGTCGTGGGAAATTATAGTACTTGTATATGGTATGATGTGATACGAAGGTTATTTTTGTACTGTACTTTTATTCTGGTATTGTGATAGGTGAGTAGAGCTGGTACGGTACGGTACTGGTATGATGTTATGTTTGTTACAGGTTCGTTAATTAGGGGACTTTGGGAGAATGCCTGACTGGTGCGGAGAAAATGGAAAAAAAAAAACAATTTACTCTGGGAGGGAGTGCACGACAGTAACGGACGAGAATCACACGATTTGCACAGCTTTGGTAGAGTACAGTACAGTACGGAATTGCCCAATACCCGTCGAGTCAGAGACATGTGCTGCATTCCCAGATCACGTAGAGAGAGAGAGAAAGAAAGAACACGGAACAAGCAATACCCGTCCCGTCCATCCTTCGAAGTAAAAAATTTAAAAAAATTTGTAAAATGTAAATTGTTGGCTTTGTTGGTACCTACCCTACCCGAGTGGCTATCACTTCTTCTTCCTCTTCCTCCTCCTCCTCTTCTTCTCCTTCCTTCCCAGTTTTCATTTGTGATGTTCCGGTGAGGATTTGTAAACGATGGCTACTGCATTATCATATTCGGAAATGATCTCTGTGCATTGTGGTGCAAGGGATGGGAAGTATAGTACGGTATCGAGTGGGGTCGAGTACGCTGCTCGTATCACACTCGCTACCATCTCTACCTCACTTTTCGAGATGCGGTAGCCGTCGTTTGTGGGTTAGAGACACGGCAGGGGTCAAGTATTGTACAGAGATCCCATACAGTGTATATGTTATAGCGGAGTGCGGGTTGAAGTGATCCTGCTTGGACAAGGGAGTGCGGTAGGAAAAAGAAGCTTCCAAAGGTTTGGGCAGGTGATACTGGTACTTGTACGTACAGTACTATTAGTGACCCGGACATAGGGGGTTTGATCCCATATCTACGGGGGATTCCTCATACCGCCAACAGAAACGTCAAATCCATACAGAGACCCAGAGCGGATAAAGGAAGACAAAATATCCACTGTACCATCCACGGACAAACACGTCGCACCAAATACATTATAAATTACCAGGCTACCATCTGCTTACCCCCTTCTTCCAATCGCAATATATCATACATACAGTGCACCACCACCACCATCAAAAAACCACCGCGGCATGTACCGCACCCCCCCACCTCCATTCTTGATTCCCCATCTTCACTATTATTCCTTTTTCTAGGTTTCCGGTAAGTGAAGGGGCCAGCCAGCCAGCCAACCAATAAAGTGGATCGATGGATGGGTGGACAGGTGAGCAGTAGCGGATCAAGTTTATCCTTCCAGCAGTATCCGATCATAGTACGGTAATGCACGAGCGTAGCATGGGACCAACGCATCATGCCCAAGAAGAGGAGTAATCTGTGCGGTGTAGGATAGGGTATAGAAAGAGTTTGCATGGTATGGGGGTTGACTGTACCGTTGCGGAAATTCTCACTCTGCTCTGAATTTGTTGCGCTCGTGATGGCGGATAGCGGGTTCGTCGCGGGTGGTGATACGGACGTTGAGGAAAGGCCCCGAAGGGGTAAATGCGTGCTATCATTCGCTGTCCAGGTATATGAGGAGTCTCTCTGTGAGGCTGACCCCGACCTGCCATGCCAGTAAAAAAGCCCGCTCCGCGTCCCGGCCGAGTAACTTCCCGGAAGCCAGAAAGTGCTCGAGTATGCAAACCTGTCCCTACCCGGTTTGTAATCGGGTTTCCGGGGATATGATACATGTCGCGCGGTAGAGGGAAAACCAAGCTACGAGGGAAGACTAATCAACCCTAGCGAGATTCCACTCTAACTCATCAATGCCATACGGTACATGCCGGTGTACCAGCCCCACCACGCGAACAGGCACAAGCTTTCCCACGCTCCCCCTCCGGACCAACCGAGCAAAAACCAAAAACCAAAACGAGTGACAGAACATGACTCTATTCTTCCCTACCTGACCAATCCAACGGATTAGTAATCCACGGGACGTGACGAATCGGGGGAATTCTTGCACCGAGTGGAGCAGGGGGGGGCAAGCGAACGGAGGGCTCATGCTCTAGAATTAACTCACCGGTAGGATACACCTATTTTTGTGCCTTGAGCACAATTCAGAAGTTCTCCCCCGTCCACTACCGTATTCCCTTCCCTCCAGAGTTACAGTAACCGTTCCTCCCATTCCCAATAAGGCGAAAAGAAACTCGCCGGAACATGCGGGAAAATTCCCCTCCCGCCGCTGTTGTCGTTGAGTGGTACTTGTAGGAGTGCTGGGCTGTAACGTGGAACATGACGGTCGGTCCTCGAGTACGGGACAATCACAGTTCCATACCTTCTGTCCTCGGGGCCCGGAAGCACACTATCCGAGCTCCAGCCCTGAGTCAGCGGGTGTGCGGATGGGGTTCCGGGACGCAAGGCGATAGGCTGGTTTCGTTTGCGCGATGGCTTTATCTCTTCTTTCTTCCTCTTGAACGGATCCTTTGACCTGAGTGGCACCACTGTGGTGTGCAAGTGTCCCGGGCGAGTCGAGCGAGGAGGATAAAACATGGTTCCACTTCATTCTTTGACGGTGGTTTGTTCTTGTCAACCCGGTAGGGTGCGGTACGATAGGCGACAAGGTAAATTTACGGTATGGATATCTGGGCTGTCTTGAACACCGACCTAGCTCGTTCGGGTGGGCCGCCGCTGCGGCTCTGTAAGGGACCTGTGGTGGCTGTGGAAACGAGGCGCTTCGTACTGTACTGTACGAGTACCTACTTGCTCGGTGGGCTTGGCCGCATTCGCGATGCTTGTGCTGTCCTGTGCTCTGTCAGTGTCTACTCGGGGGCTACCGTCCGGCGTCCACTCCCGAAAAGACATGTGCTGTTTGTGTGCAGACCAAACCACATTAGGAAAATCAAGTGATTGCCAGCGAGAATTTTATGGTCCACTTGGTGACTTCTTCCTCTTGGCATGCCAGGGTCGCTCGACTACAGGCAGGCCTAGGAAGCCACAGTAACAAGCTGTCGCCGGTTCGCTCTTATTATACAAGTGCCACTACTAGTACCTGCACTGCAGCACCTATCTGAGCGATTGAAGGATATGTTGCTGCTATTATCCCCTTAAGGGGTAAAGAGAGGGATGGAGGAGGATCAGCGGTCGCAGCAGGAAATCTGGCGATGAACAATGGGGGCCCGGTTACCTGGACTGAAAAAATAGGCCAAGCGCAGAAAGGTAGCGGACCCGACTTGTCCTTGTACTCGTACTCGAGTACCCGAGTACAATACTCAGGTGCGGGTGGGTACTGTACGAGTACTCGAGTGCTCGATGACCGCACTGCACCCTGTGGATTAGGTTTCGACAACCGAGGCATGGTCACGGAATGAAAGGAAGGTTTGATAAAGGATCGCCCTTTTTTAAAAGATCTAGTAGACAAGATGTCCGGTGCGATATCTTATCCTCGCTCCAGCCTCGATAAGGGGGGGGAGGAGGGTTAATTAGGAGGAGGATGCTTTATGCGAGATTGACACTCGCACCGTTGAATGCGGGTTTGTATGATGGAACAAAGTTAACTTACACTGGCAGGGCAGCACCGTGCCCCTACTCGTATAATGCCTTACCCATGGTATGGTCGGTCGGTAACGGAGCAGAAAGCATAGATTCAAAGTGCGGATTCGCGATCCCCGCGAGTTTTCAAGGTGGTGAGGGACCGGACTATATACCATCACCATCACTACCGGTACCCTGGTGGCTGGCAGTAAGCGAGGATGAGGGAAGGGGAAGTGGAAGCTTCATCCATCCATCCATCCATCCCTCCTCCGTCCATTCACTGGACCCACATTCGCCCATCCATTCACCAAAAATTCCGTGGACAAGCTTAACTTGAAGCTTATCACCCAACTTATCCGTCCAGCGATCCATCCATCCATTCAGTTACCGGTTGTCCCGGGAAGCGGCACCCCCTAAAACCGCAACAAACTAACAAACAGAACGGAAAAAAACGAAACAGATAATCGAACAAGCAAACAAGAAAAAGATAATGGGAAGAAATTCATGAATAGCAACTTAGCCGTAATGTTGTGGCACCCCGGCCAAAGCTCCTGGATAGAGTATACAAGTACGTCGATGGAAAATTGATCCCTCGAACGGGGCTCAGCGGGGCTCAAAGGGCTGGTATTTGGTAAGCGCTGCAACATGACGGAGCGCGATACGGCATGATAGGATATTTGGTTGGTGGGGAGGGCTGCTGCACCGGTACCGCACTCTACATGCGGGAATTGTGGTGGCTGTAATTTGATTTGGTGCGATGTGAGTGGAGAAGGGGTGAGAGCGCGAGCGATAAGCCCTACGGAGTACCGTGCTCGAGTACTGGTACCATACAGGCTGTGCGGTACGGCATTGGAGGCCTGCCGGAATCAATTGCGAGTTGAGATTTTCAGCTCCGTGTGCGAAGGTGCAGTGAACGTGTTTGATTCCGTTCAAATTTGAACGGCGCGAGTAAGACTGGAATCCAATCCGTGGAGGGTATCGATTTTGGTTGGAGGCGGTGCCTTGGATGGTTCTTTCCGGTTGTCCCTCTCTTTCATCTGATTGGAGGAAAAGCGAGTACGAGGGAAGGAAGGATGGAATGACGGGGGGGGGGATTGGATAACCAGCCAGAAGGATCAGATTTGATTACGGGCATGATAACGGGCGGGTGAGGGCACGAGGGGAAGGGGGAGGGGGATCTTTTCAGTTCACTCGCTCCAGTCTGGTTGCAATACCGTACGGAGGTACTCCAGTACGGACCAGCTGCTCGAGAACTCGAGTCCCGTACCGGTCTGGTGCCGGCACCTCTACGGATTATCGAATCCGCCCTCAGTGCCATCCAGTCAGCGCACTAGTCCTAATATAGCAGGTGACCTTACCTCTTTGGGCAATATATTTATTTGCGTATCGCTCGGCCAAAACCTTTTTCTTTTTTTTACTTCCGGACATGTCCCAAACCCCGGGTCCGCCCAAATTTTGCTTGGGCTCTGGGCAGCCGTTACTTGTACGGCAAGACCCGCCTCTCCACTGTAGAAGGAAATCCACTGTGCAAATGCCTTCCCCACATTTTTGCACCGGAGGGATAAGTGAAATACTGGTGATCGCATGTGACGTCCTCCTTTTCTGTTCGTGGGAGGAATTGGGGAAATTTTTGCTGTGGTGAAGGCTGATTCTGAGTTGCCGGCACCATATGATACTTGCATTCATATTGCTGCGCTCCCTTGATTAAGCGCATGGATGTCTCTCATTTTTTGCTTTTCCTCCTCCTCCCCTTCATTCGTTTTTCGGATCCCCGGACTGCCTTTTGGCCGAATAGCGACTCAGCTTGCACTTTTCTGGTCCTTTGGAGGAGGGCTCCCCTCCAACCTCCCCCACCAACTTTCATCCGACCCCTCCCCCAGTTCCCTTTTCCTACTTTCCCTCCCCCCCCCCCTTCCCACTTGGCAAGACTCATCCATCACACTCGGGCAAATGTGAGAAGCGGACATATCTTTCTCCCCGGTCCGTAGCGGCCGCTACAGGGACGGGTCGAGATTGGGCTTTTGACATTATATACATCCAATGGCCCCCCCCCCCCCCATCCCCTTTTTCACATCTAGTTCCGGCCTCCCCGTCGTCGTTCCTCAATCTACCGCATCGTGGTGTATGGTGGTTTACCGCTCTGGATACATAGGCACCATTTCATGCAAACTTATGCACCCCCCTTGAAGGATATCCACCTCATCACGGTCTCTGGTCTGCATTGCATGCATATCTGCCATCCCTTCAAGTTTGTCCCCCCCCCCCAGATATCTCGTATCACTTGTAATAAATTACGACTGGGTTGCCGCACGGCGCTGGTACCGCATCACCAAGCCAACCTGCTTGCACCTAACCTACAGTACCTTCAGCCCAGCCAACCGAATTGGTTACCGTAGCCAGCCTTCCCCCCCCCCTATCCACCAGTGATACCTGTACGGTATTACCAAGATCACAGCCACCCACTCACCCCACTACCCTTAACACCACCACCATTCCCACAATCCTGGCCGTTCGTTCCCCTTCCCCCAAAATACCACCGTTACGGTATCCACCGCACCATCACCGCTCTGGCCTGCTTGAGCGCAGCTACAAACCTAACTCTGGGACTATTGGGCGGACTATTCCTCCGCCCATTTCTACACAGCATCATCGACAGTGCAGCAGCAGCAGCAGCACCACTGGGAGTGCAACGACAGATCGCACGTCCCTCCTCCTCGTCGTTGACTCCCGGGACTGAGCGTCAACGGGGGTTGGCAACGCAGGAGATGTCCTTCCTGACCCTCTTCACAGCGGACGCGGCAGCAGCACACGGGCATGAGTTCTCGGGTAACAATAACCCAAACACAACGACAAATGGAGCTACGAATTCGGTGATTCGGGCGTCGGTTTCGTCTGGGTCGTTGGGGCGTAGTGGGAGTGTGGATGGGGGGATTCGACCACGCTCTACCATATCCTCTAACGTATCCACTGTGTTTGAGGACCCGCTGCTCCCTCCCTCACCCGCGGTACCTAGAAAGTCGCCGCGCACGAAGACGGCATACCACTTGGCACAACCACCACCCAGTGCGCACCTGCTGCATAGGCACTCGTTGAAGCCATCGAGGAATCTAGTGGTGCAGTTGCAACGTCTCTCGAATACTACCAGGCCGGTGCCGACACTGGATGTTCTCCCTGCCTCGATTTTTGCGTCGAGGTTGAAGGCTACTTGCGGCCGCTTCTTCAAGCACGGTGTGGGAAGCCAGGACCTTGTGTTTTTGACGAGTGAGGAGTATGGGAGCGGAGATGACGATGACGATGATGTGGGTGAGGATGAATCGAATCGGCTCAACGCACGGCACGTGGTAGCCACGGTTTCGCAAAACTACAGGAAGGTTCCGCTAGCGGCTGGGGAGGATGGGAAAGGTGGGAGTGGTGGGATGGCAAAGGTCCCGGCGATACGGCTAGACTCTGGCCCGCCATGGGAGGTTACGCAGACCGCGTCTGGAGGCTACGAGTTCTCGGCGTATCAGGAGGATGGCAGCGTGCTAACGGCGAGGTGGAACCCCAGAGGTGCAGGTACCCTTGCCGGCAGACGCCGTTCGTCCCAAGCACGGGGTAGCAGTTCCGAGGACAGCACGGCGGAACGGAGATTCCAATTCAGCCTCGTGAATCCGGGCTCCCGGAGGCACCCGATCATTGCTACACTAGCTAAGCAAACCATCGAGATCAACGACCACTACCCCGCTGCAAGCTCAAGCTCCCCGGCGACAACACCCACTCAATCTCGCTCCTCATCTCCAGTGCACGGTGCCCCGTCGTCCCCAAGCTCGGAGGAACGCTTGTACATCAGGACATCAGACTACATCTGCACCCTCATCTTGGCTTCAGGCATCTGGGTCGCCCTCCGAGAAGGTTTAGCATCAAGCAACAGCCTCCACCTCGACGACGCCGCCCCACTGTCCCCAACCCCCAACCCGCCCGGTCATCTCTCCCCAAACCCAACAACCGGGGCCTCCTCCTCCCCCGCCGCCAATCGTCCACGCGCAGCCGGCCGCTCGTCCTCATGCCCTGTAGGCCCAGAGGTAACATTCGATGAAACCCCACGCAGCCAGCTAATACGCTCGGGCACAGTGCTCGGGCACCAGGTGACAACCTCCACAAAGCGCACCCCGAGCCTGGATGACCACCGTACTCAAACCCCAACACTCCCGAGACGCTCCTTCTCAGCGGGACCTTCAACAAGACCACGGTCGGTCACAACTTCGCACCTCCTCCGCGGCCTCTCAAGTACCTCCAGAACACCAAGCCCAACCCCCCGCCCGCAAACACCCCCACACCGGGTCCCAGACCAATCACTCACCCCGCCCACCAGTGGCTGCATGTACATACACCGTCGCCGTGGTGCCCACCATCACAGACACTCGAACTCTGCCAGTCTCCCGAGCTCGCCGGCAAAGTATCCCGAAGAGAGGCGACGGAGGAATGGTAGAAGGGGTGGTGCAAATAAGGATTTGCCGCTTGTGGATGCGCACTCGGAATGGAAGAGGAGGGAGAAGGGGGTGCAGGGAGATGGTGTGAATGGTTCGGCGGTGGGGGATGGTAGTGAGGTGGCGGGGGGGAAGAAGAGGGGGAGGATCAGGGGGTTTGTGGATATGCTTAGGAGGGTTGCGGGTTCTAAGGAGTGATTTCCCGTGCTCTGACCTTTTTTTTTTTTCTTTTTCATTGTTACTGTTTGGGGATGATTATGAGGTTGGGATACAGGAGTGGTTTTTTTCTTGTTTGTTTCTTGCTTGGGTCTTTTTTTTCTCTCCTCTTTTGTTTATGGTGTTTTTATATATATATATCCGGTTCGTGATGGTTCGTGAGAGCTTCTTTGCTCGGTCACTTACCTTGGCTAACCTCCCTTGGGAGTTCCGCTTACCTATGGTTCACTTGTTCATAATTACTATACCCCACTCTACTCGAGTATTCTAATTCCCGTGCCGAGTACTTGTCGTCACCAACACTAGCATAATAAGGGACCCTACCCCATTGTGACAACACCGAACGCGTACACCCAACTAGAGCAGCCATGCTCTACCCCAGTTCACCGCACAAGCACCACCCCGATCCCTACCAACAGTAGCACCAACCCATCCCAGCCCAGCAGAGTGTGACACCCTGCAACCACAGTCCCGTACCTCGTAATCCCAAATAATCCCAAGTCCAGCGAGCACCCTAACCACACGCAGCACACCACCCAAATCCGCAAACCGAACGCGACCACTACTCCGACGGCTTCCCCGACGCGAGGGTGTGTCGCATCGCACGAGGCACGGGGTGGGGGGGGCCGGGTAATGGATGGATGGTTCCACAGCACAGCACTGGAAATCTCGCGAGTGATCTCCTGTGATTTATAGGATCCTCGACGCTGGAAAACACGAAATGACGGGCGCATGAGGGAGCTTTGATAATAGGCTGTTGGAGGAGGGTGAGAATTGGTGATTTGTTGCAAGAGCGGAATTGATATCTAATAATATGTTCGACCGGGAGAAGTTAGTGTTAGTTAGTTAGGTGGGTAATTAGTTGGGTAGACAGAAAGTAGCGTTCGGTCTTGGTGTGCTCCTATTCTGGGTTAATGAATGTGTGGTACTGCTCTGTCGTATTGGTCCAGTCCTTGGATTATAAGTTGGGTAGTGTCTGCGGGAGGGGGGGCTCACACCGCCTACCGGTATCGTACCATCCAATAACTAGCAGGCAGGATCTATCTATTCCTGCGTGATCGGTCGACAAACTGCGGGTAAGATGGTCATGGACTTGCTACCCAGCGCTGAATTTTCTGATCTAATCTTCGCACGTTCCAAGATCTTTGACGGAGGTTTGTCGATGGGTGGTGGTATGATATATCATCTTGAGACTGTGCTGATACCAGCGTAAGATAAATAGATAAGTAGATAGATGGATAGGTGGGTGGATAAATCATTTTTTTTTTGCTGTTCTGTATCTATCTGCTCTGGAAACGAGGCGGTATGTATGTATGTATGTATGTATGGACTGCCCTAACCATCTTCAATATAGTTCACAAGTGTAATAGTCCCAGCTTTCAAACCTTGGATGCGCCTATCGCTAAATATATCGTTCGTTTTGCTGGGGTTGGTAAGGTACCGTACGGGCGTGAAGTTTGCTGGCCTTAGACTATAGTATAGTACTCACTGCACGAGTGCAGTACAGTACAGTACAGCACAGTACAGTAGTGCTTGACCGGAGGAAGAAGTGAGAAAAGGAGAATGGAAAGGTACGCTGTCATAACTGGAACCTTGACTCCCGCGGAAATACCAGTCACCATCACAATAGATCTCCGGGAAAGGGGTATCATACTTCTCTTCCGCTTGTTGTGTCGGGTTATCACTTGTATGCGAGTACTGTACCCTTGCGACATTATACCGCATCATATCACATCATACCGAAACCAAACCAGTTAACTAAACTCCCTAGATTCTTCCAGTCGCTCGATCGCACCCGCAAGCACCACCCGATCGAGAATCCAACGCTCTGGCCCGTCGCCGAAACCTCTTCCAACAGGCAGTCAACCGTCACTGATAACCGAGTGACACTCCGTGACCACACAAATTACCCCTCCCCCGCGTGCCCAAGGGGTAAACTTCCCGGTTGGTGATTTGAAACACCCACTCCAACGCTGAACCGCATTTTCCGGTGCGCTTTGGCGGGGGGAAGGAGGCCGCCGCGTCGGGTGGTGAAGCTGTTATTCAACACCAAGTATTCGTCACCTCTTTCATGAAGGTTTCCTGCCCTTGGGCGGACCCGCTCTCGAGATTGAGTGCTGGGGCTGGCGCAATTCGGTTGGAAAAAGGGTGGCGGTGGTGGAATTAGAGTTTTCGTGGACTCAGCAAGCCTCGTCTCCCATTTATCGGTTTCTCCTCTCCTTTTAGCCCCAATCCGGCTCTCTTAGCATGTGGTCACTTGTTTTACTGCCTCGGTTTTTCTCGGAAATCAAGATTGGCTTTTTTCAAGTTTTCATTGTGGTGTTTTTTTGCATAGCGGTAGCCAGTTCTGTGGCGATTTGATTGTTGGGGATGCCTCGGGAACCGTAAAGTACTGTACTCGAGCACTATTGACGCCTAGCCCCACCGAAATCCAATTAATTCCCTGGAAAACAGATGCATAACAGAACAACTAATTATTGTGCCACCCAGCAGGCAGCCAAGCTAGATCAAAAACCGATAAAGAAACCCTCCTATCCAACCATTCTCCAATAATCTATTTTAAAATTAGACCAACCCCCAAATTCACCCCCATTTATCTCATATCCTTCAGCTCCACTACTTCCCGCTCTCCTTCCCCTTACCAAACCTCTCCAGAACCCTCGGCGCAGTAAGTACCCAGCTCCACTTCTCACTCCCATCAACCACAAGCCTATACTTCAGCACAACCTGTTCTTCGTTGGTTGTATCCACCGTAATGGCCCCAAACTTTCTATTTCCGTCAGGGACATACTTGATCAGCAAATCCTCGTTGTCGAGCTGCTTATATGTCCTGATGGGCACAAAAAACTGGTTCAGCGGAGAGCATGAGAATTCGTGAACAGTGCTAGCAATCGAGTACCCGGAATCCGGCGATGGGGGGAAAGCCGTTGCGGCGAATTCGTGGCGATCGCCGGAAAGGATGACTACTCGCCCACCGCCAATTTTCCACATTTGCTCAAGAAGTTCCTGGCGCTCGTGGAGGTATCCACCCCATGTGTCTCGGCCGTTCACACGCCAGTTTTTGGTGAAGGGGACGCTACTAGCGATTATTTTCCAGCCGCTGCCCTGGGATAGCCAGCGCAGGAGGTCGGCCTTTTGACGCGTACCAAGCATGGTCTTTTCCGGGCCGTCAGGGAAGTCGACGGGAGAGCGGTAGGTGCGTGTGTCAAGCATGAAGAAACTAGCCGCGGAGCCATAGTCGAAGGCGTAGTAGGGGTCGCCGGCTGGACGGACAGGAGGGGGGTTGATGGAGTGTTGATAGATGTTGAAGGGGTCTATCGCCGCGGAGTAGACGCCCGTAGTGTTTGAAGACCAGTCGTTGGAAATTTCATGGTCGTCAATTACGTGAATCCATGGGAGGTTGGCTCCTACAGAAGGCCAGTCTGGGGAGGCGTAGATCTGGCGGTATTGTCTGGGAGTATTAGCGTCGCGACCCTCGGCTTTGGAGAACACTGGATGGGATAAAACTTACTGCCTATAGCTTTCCTTGTCAAACCCCGGCCTCCTCGGCACATCGATATAAATAAAATCCCCCAAAAACAACATAAACCTGGCCTCCAACCTTTCCACCCACGCGCCCAAATCTCTGAAGCCCTTAACCGCTAGTGGATGTCCCGTAAGATCGTACGGAAAATTCGCCTTGATGCAGCTCGTCGTCAAAAAGGTAAACTTGCCCCCCCTCGGCGCCTCATTCTCTCGCGGCGCCGTGGTGAAGGTCCCGGAGTGATTCGAACTAGTGTACCACCGATACCTCGTCTCCGGAGTTAGGTGATGCAGCGTTAGCGTGTTTGTGAAATCCGTTTCTTCAGACGGTTCGGAGATCGTGTCGACGAGGCGCAAGTCAATCGTGGGGACTTTGTCGTGCGAATACCATACCGAGAGTGGGTAGTGGGTGGAGTCTGGTTCTCGTAGTAGGAGCTTTGCGGAATCGGGGCCGACGTGACCGATGCGAGCAAAGCTGAGATCCTTGCTTGTGTAGAAGCAGGTTGCGCGGAAAGTTAGATCCCACGTCGCGATAGCGAGCAGCGTATTTATTGCGAAGGTTGCTAGACTTAGTTTCCCAGAAACAGAGGGGGTGCCCCAGAGGAGGTGCTTGATAGGGTGGGGTTGGCGCTTTCGATAGACGGTTGTTTCGGTAGCCTCGATCGCGGTGGGCGTTCCCGGTGATAATGTTGTGCCCCCAGTCGCTCCTCCGTCCGTTCTTGTGTGTTTTGATGTCGTCTCGGCATCGTGGTCGGCCGGCCGCAGAATGTTGACCCGGGAGGAACTGGCTATCATCTCGTACGACGGCTTGCCCAAATACAAGATAGCGAAAAGGGACGCATAAATGCCGTACGCGGTGAATATCGCTGTGGGGAAAACCTATCTTTCGTCAATCACGCCCTGCTCTTCCGGGTTCGTCAGCGAGATGAGAAGAACCTACATGTCCGGGTATCTGCAATGCACAAAGGTATATCATTAGCAACCTCAGCATTACTAGCTAGCTCGGAATTGTCGACAAACCCATCGTAAAAATACATAACTCCCAACACGAACGATGCTGGAACTTAGGGCGCACAAGGTGGTGAGAACGGGTGCCGAGTCCATTTTCAGTGGTTGGCTTGCTATGGATAGGGAAAAAAGGGGGAGGGGAATCTGAATGCCTGAGCTACCGCTGCTGGTAACTTATCATGGTGAACGAGTGAGTCCTGGCCATGACGCAAGTATGACAGGCTACCGGGTTGTAGGTTGCGGCTTTGATAAGATCTGATCCCCGCTTCTCACAGCTTCGGTTGTGATCTGATAAGTGATAAGAAAATCCTTGGCGAAATGGAGTCTGTGGAAACCGAGACTTTTCGTGTCTGTCCACTCAGAGAGTGCTGGGCTGAGATCTGTCCGGCGTGGACCACTGCACTCGGGATATTTCCCGGCCAATTGGTAGGGGTACCTGGAAGGCTTTGTTACCAGGTGCATGTCATTTCAAATGGTTTTCTCTAATTGGACGCACGACACCTACCGTAGCTACTCGAGTATGTTACCGGTAGCGCTGTACGAGTACAATATTAATAAACGGTCCCTGGTTACCAATGTGGACTTATTTGACCGACCCAATGGTACGAGTACTGTGATCCAAGGTTAGCAGAGACAGGTGGGGCACTTGACACACTGGCGTGTCTCTCTCCACGATATAAGGTATTAACTTATCCTAATACAAGAAATAGTTGAGATTGTACCGAGTATCGTATGACTATACTTGTAGTGTTCCCCCTGCATAAAAGGCTCCCAAACACAATTCCTGTTTTCCTCCCGGACCATTACAGTAATTGAAGAACACAAAGACTAGACAACACATGTGTCGGGAAATTCACCAGCCATCACCACTTTAATCTTATCCTCTAAAACCTCCCTGCAGAGCTTTACCTTTCTAAAACCCATTCATTCACCCAAACTTTCTTGCACCATGCTAGAGATAGCTGAACTGATGCAAATGCCATAAAAAAACCCAACATGTCAAGGGGCCTGCAACGGGGACTCGATTCATCGAGTCTAATCGTGCTTCATGACCACCGAGGAACCTGAAATGCCTTTCTCGGAACAGACTCACGCCAGGCAAGAAGAGGGTGCCCTGGGCCGTGGCCGGGCCAAGCCTCGTCCAAGAAATAGCACATCTTAGTATTCAAAGTTCCAGCATTATAGAACCATACTGAGGCAAGTACACAGAGCAATAACAATGTCCCTGAATCTCCCCTAGCCTGCATCGTGCATAGTAGAAAGCCTTTCTCCAACCTTTACTAAAACAAAAGCCTGAGACAAGCCACTGTCTGGTATCTAGAGACAGGTGCGCACCCGTCCTGATGCAGGGCTTGACAATTTTTTTTCCCCAAGGGTTCCATCACAGCACCGCTGACAGGGAACACACTTAAAACCACGAATAAAGTATGCTCTCGACCTAATACAAGAGTTGCCAAAAATTGGCAAGAACCCCCCCTTTCCAGCTTTGCCAGGAATAATTTCAAACCCACTAATAGTACATATAATGTATGCTAAGCCATAATGTAATAAGAAAAATTGCAGTGTAGTGTATCATAGTATACTGAACTATTTGCCTTTCCGGTCTGTTTTTCCGTGAATTGCGCAAAACAGGAATATAGCATCTGGGTAAGTAGGGTTGGTGTCAAGTAAATGAGATGAGAAGTAATAAAACAAACCAAGTTCACAACACCAGCAAATGATAGCCGAACAAAAGAAATGTGGAAGATAGTGCAACGATGGTAATAAAGCGGAAGGAGAAGGAAAATGCAAGGAAGAACAATAGGGCTTTACTTTTCAAGCAGCAAAATAGAACAATGCCCCCGGTCTCAAAGAAAACTCAAAGGGAATCCCGAGTGACCGATTAGGAAAAGGACGGGGAAAGGGAATAAAATAATAGCAAAAAACAGCCCGCCATTAGCCCACAGCCTGCACTTCCCGCCGGATGTTCTGCCTCCTTTATTTATCTGGTGGATGGTCTCGTATCTAGGTAAGTTTTATGTGAATTCTGAAAAGTGATAGGAAAAGTGCGATTGTTTCTAGTTGAGGCTAATGCCTAAAGCATCGCTGACAAATGCCTGTTCTTCTTTCTATTCGGGTTGTTAGAAATGCAACCGATGACGCAGTAGGCTTTATAAGCACTTACCAAATGGGTCGACTTCATTCCAGTAGCAACACTAGCACTCGGAGCTCTACCGGCGTACTTGACATGCTTTTCACTGTGGTTTTCAGTTTGCCGGAGGATAGTCTCCAATCTGGGCTGCACAAAGGTCCAGGCGCCTGCGTTAAGAGGCTCTTCCTGTGTCCAGATGATCTCCTCAAGATTGGGGTATCTCTCAAGCTCGTCGCGAATCTGGGCCCAAGGGAAGGGGTGAAGCTGCTCGATACGAGCGATAGCAACATCATCGACCCCGCTGGCTGCACGCTGCTTTACAAGAGCGGCATAAACCTGACCAGAGCAGAAGAGTAGACGCTTGCATTCCTCGGGATCTTTGATGCCTTTGCCATGGTCGGTCTCTGGGATAAGCCATCGGAAGTGGGAGTCGCCTGTAAACTCGGATAGGTCGGAACGAGCAATGGGGTGTCTCAAGAGCGATTTGCTGAAGAATATTATGAGCGCTATACATAATCGTTAGCTACAGACTGGGTATATGAGCGACGAAATCTTACGCTTTCGGAATTGGCGCTTCATCTGTCTTCTCAAAACATGAAACAAATTAGAAGGGCTAGTCATGTAGGTAACTTGCATATTGCAGTCTTGGTGTTGACGGTCTAATTTTTCGGGAGGCGGGAATATCCTAGGGTCTTCATTGCATAACTGTAGGTATCTCTCTATCCTTCCGGAGGAATGTTCGGGGCCTTGTCCGTCGTACCCGTGAGGGAGAGACATCGCAATGCCGGTACGCTGAAGCCATTTTGACTCTCCGGAAGCGATAAACTGATCAATGATGCATTGCGCGTTGTTTGCAAAGTCGCCGAATTGTGCCTCCCAGATAACGAGAGCATCCGGCGACGACAAAGAATAGCCGTACTCGAACCCAAGACTAATGTTATTAGCTCTATATAGCACTTGAGAAAAGCGATAACCCGAAACTTACACTCCGAATTCACTCAGAGAAGAGTTTGAAATGACAAAGTTTGCTTGCGTGCCGCTTAGATGTTGAAGGGGGGTATAGGTGTTCTCGTTCTCCTGATCGTGCAGAACGGCGTGTCTCTGGGAGAAAGTCCCACGCTCGACATCCTGTCCACTGACACGAACATGTTGCCCTTCCATCAACAAACTTCCAAAGGCAAGGGCCTCTGCCGTAGACCAGTCGATACCACTGCCTTCATCAACAACCTTCTTGCGATTAGAAAGGATACGGCCCAGGTTTCTGTGGACACTAAACCCCTCCGGGACGGAACCGATGACGTCGCCAATGTGCTTCAGCTGACTCTCCTCAATAGCCGTGGGGAGATGAGGCAAAATCTCCGTCGACAACTCCTTTGGTGTCTTAAAGCCTATGATTCTACTCAGTACATGCTCATCGTTCTTGGATATCTTATCTGCAAACGAACCGTTCCAAGCGGAAGTCAACCATTCCCTAGCAGTTGGTTGGTACTCTCTGGACTTGGCGAAACTATCTTCGAGCATAGACCATACCCTGCATTTCGTGTCAGTTGGACTCTTTACAGGCTTCGGGAGAATCGCCTTCTCACCAATCCTTGTGCTCCTGGATATCGTTATCAGTAAAAGTGCCTTCCTGCCTAAGCTGAGTGATGTAGCGATTTAGAGCGGACTGTTTCTCGGCAATCTTTCTATACATGAGAGGTTGAGTAAAACTAGGCTGATCCGTCTCATTGTGACCATATTTTCTGTAACAAACCAAGTCGATAACTACATCGCGCTTGAACTCGGCCCTCCAATCAGAGGCAAGCTCACAAACAAAGTTGACAGCCTCGACATCGTCAGCGTTTACGTGGAAAATCGGTGCATCAATTGACTTTGCAATATCCGAACAGTACGGTGTAGACCTAGCAAAGCGAGGATCGGTGGTGAAACCAATCTGGTTATTGACAATCAGGTGGATGGTTCCACCGGTGGAATAAGCGGGGAGGGCATGAAAGCCCATTGTCTCGTATACAATACCTTGCGCAGCGAAAGCCGCATCTCCGTGCACCAACACGCCCATAGCGCTATTATGGCTCTTCTCGTCGTTGTTGAAGTGCTGGATCGCACGAGCTTTACCGAGGACAACAGGGTCCTCCGCCTCCAAGTGCGAGGGGTTAGCGACCAGAGACAACTGTACCCGTTTCCCGGAAGGTGTGGGACGCTCGAAATTCATGCCCAAATGGTACTTCACGTCCCCGGAGCCTTCATCGTTTGGCTCGGCAGTGCCTCCGAACTCGCTGAAAATACTCTCGTTCGGTTTTCGCACGACATTGGAAAGGACATTCAGGCGACCACGGTGGGGCATTCCAATAACGATGTCCTTGATCCCGCGATCGACCGACCTATCAATAAGGGCCTTCATACCCGGCACTAGTGCCTCACACCCTTCGAGGCCAAATCTCTTGTCGTTCGGGTATTTATTCGACAAGAAGCTCTCAAAAGAGCTGGACCAGATCAAGCGGTCCAGAATACGACGCTTCTCGTGGTTGTCATATTCCCAAGGGGTAGGGATTTCGACACGCTCACGGATCCAATCACACTGGTCACGGTCCGCAATGTGAACATACTCAATGCCATAAGAGCCGCAGTAGGTCTTTTCACAAGCAGCAATGATCTCCCTCAACGTCATCTTTTCGTTCCCATTGACAGCAAACCTTGGAAGAATGCCAGGACCAAGGGTGTACTCATCATCAAGGTCCCTCTCAGTGAACTGGTAGTGATCAAGTTCAAGCTCTCTGGGCTGCGATGTTCCGCCAAGCTGTGCACCTGAACGGATGCCGAGGGGGTCGATATTTGCTTTATGGTGACCACGAACTTGATAGGCACGCACGAGAAGTTGCACCTTTAAATGTTTGGTGACATTGGTATTTCCGCCAAGGTGTGCACCGGGTACGAGAGAGGGAACACCACCGGTGGGGGTGGGAACAAGTGTCGGGGGTACCTGAAACGCCTGTGAGGGAGGGCAATCCCCCTCCATATTCCTGAAATATACCTGCCAGGAAATGTGGACGCTCGACGGGTCCTTTTTCCATGAAAGGTACATTTCGTCGATGTAATTAGCAGTATTGCCCTGCAGGAAAGAGTCACTTGGGTCCTATTGTAGAAGCGGAGCGGGAAGTCAGCTTGATTCTGCGGCTTCGGGGTAAGAGTTTGCTGGGGGCGGGTTGTTTGTTAGGTAGGATGAGATCATAAGTCAGGCAGCAGGGAAAGGGAACCAGTTTGTATGTTCTGGCAAACACCGTACCACTCCTTTACTCGAGGCGTCAGTGGAGTTATTTCTTGAAACTAGGTCCAGACATCTCCTGTGTGTGGTCAAGCTGCCCGGTCCGCGAGCAGCTGTGATTTGGGGGGCAAAGGCCCGTTTGGTCAGGGAAGCTGTGGTAAGGGTCCTCGACGAACCGAGAGTAAGCGAGGGGCCGCCATAGCGACATGATGACCGTAGAGTCGACCTAAGCATGTCGGTGTCTGTCGAAGGATGGTGTTCGAAAAATGTGTTGGAATTCTCAGATTCAAGTGGGGGGGGGGGAAGGAAGGTGGAGGGGAGGGTTATGAGGTTAAAAGAGAAGGGAAGGGGGATGAGGGTTGTCGTCTGAAGGGCGGATGGTAACGTTCAGCAGCAGATGAGTGCTAGCCTATGCGTAAGACGGCGACACGCCTTCGGTCTCTGGCAATCACGACAAGGAAAGTGGGTGGTGGAGAGGAGGGAAGGGAGAGGGAAGGGAACGAGGGAGAGAAGAGAAGGAAAAAAAAAGCCGCCACAGAAAAGTCGAACCTCAGTGAGATGGAGACTTCCAAGACCTAGCACGATACATTTAAATCCCTCGTGGAGTAGTAAAATCTTATCTGAATGATAATCTCTACGCTACATAGGACTCTCCCGCCCAATCAAGAGCCGTATTACGGACCCTTTCACCCCACTCGGGAGAGCGAATGACCCCCCGACTGCTCGGGCCATCAGGTCCCATGCCCCGGATTTGCCTGGGCAGAGATGGAGGATCTCGTTCCTGCCGTGCATCGGCTGGCAGTGCTATTATGGGAGCGGCTGTAAGCCCGTGTGATGCAGTTATTCCCCTCACAACAAATGCCCGTAAAGAGCATGCCCTCAGGATGTGGAGTGTGAACATGTGTATAATACCCATGTCTCTTGTGCCGGGCAGGCATCAACCGAGGATCGGTAAATGAGTTCTGAAATTTCTGCGGTACTTGGCTCTCTCGAATATCACTTCGCCGTCCCCATGGAAATACAGTAACCTGCGGATCGGTTTAACACGCTACTCGAGTACAGTACTCGTACCCTCATCTACCATTACCAGTACGTTAGATCTCAACGGATCGGGTTCGCGAGACGGCCGGAAACTTATGCTTTTTCCTCCCACCGTATCATATCGTTTTCCCCACCGCAGCTTTTCCCTTTCCTTTTTCCATTGTCTCACAGTGCCCGTTTTTCTCCCTCCACTAAATCCTGGCGTCATCGACGTCTCCCTCGGCTGCAAAGCTTATTCTAGGGTAGACTACCCAACCGAGCCAACATCATACTTGTCAACTTTGTTCCCTTAACGATCTCAGGGCACTGCCGGGAGTACGGCACCCGAGCTTTGATCGATGAATTTCCTTTGTGAAACAGGGTCGCCAATCAGATCAAGGGCCGAAGTGGTGCACGCGTCCGGATCAATACTCGGCCCGTTAGGATAAAATTACAGTCTATTACCGGTAATAGGGGAAGCGGGATGAACGAGGGAGTTCGGAGACAGCTGTGGGAAAATATCAAGGGCATCCCGCCGCTATTGCCTCTTCCGTACACATAGTAGTCTACGGTGCAGTAGCCTTTAAACCGGATATACAAGGGTGAGCGCAAATTTTATGTAGCAGTCAGTCATCATCTTCATCCTCTCACGACAAGTGGGGGTGCCGGCGAGCAGATTGTTCACCCCGCCTCTCAAGCCGACAGCTGTAGATGTTAAGCGCTCCCGATCCAATCATCACCAGTCTTAACAAATCAACCGAGAGGTGGTCAGCAAATTCCCAGGTCACAGCCCGGGCATTGTGATTTCCTCTCCTGGCACCGGTGGGGCGCCATGTACCTGTACAAGTACCCGTACTCGTACCGTATATTCCTTTTGTTTTGTCACAAATGAGGCCGGCTTGGGGAGTTTTCCCTTACGTTACCAGGAAAGGGAATTCCAGAGTCATAATTAGTACTCGTACCCTTCTCCTCTACCGGCATCCGGTTCTTACGATTTGCCAACGATCGCCAACTCGCTCGAATTTCATTAACCATCCCCAGGGCTCTTGTTCATTCGAGCACGGTATCATATCTCGACGAAGAATGTAGTACGAGGGGAACTCCCTACGGCACCTACTGATGTTTTCTCCGTTTCCAGTCTCCACGTAACTCCCCACTAGCCACGTACGCCACGGTAGAAGTACCTGAACTGTAAAAGGCTCCGCTGAGATCTACAATCTCCAAAGGTGCAACCGTTCATCCAACCCCCCCATCAGACCTCTGGCCCTCCAACCCCCCGTTAACCCATCGGCAACCCACTTCCTACCCCATGTTTCAAAGGTACCTTCCCGCCCGACCCATAGGAGCAACTCGAGTACCCGCGATTCACGCTATCACGCCCTTTGAACAGAAATCGTCACTATCCCGCCGACCTTCTGATCAAGTATTGGAGCGCCAAACAGTACGTATAGTTCAAACTTGGCGCGAGAGTTGAGGATACCATAGCGTTCCTGAACTACCGTGCTCGAGTACGAGGTACAATACCGGTACTGTACCGTAAGTCTGCTAGGATGTCGCAGCTCCCCTACTTAGATATGGTAGCCGAATACCGGTAAAACAACAGGCTCAACCCTCGGCTACCAGTACGGTAAGCGAAAACAACAAATACATATTATTCCAGTAAAGCGCCCTATTTGGGGGGGCGACTACAGCGCTCTGCTACGAGCATGCTTTTGGATTCCGTTCGGGTATAGTAGCTAAGGTACAGCACACGGATGGAAATTTTGCATCATGAGTAGCTGAAATTAGGCTACAAGGTCGGGAGGGAAATTAGAATGAAACCGACGGCGCACTGCACCGTATCGGGCATCTCACTTTCCAACACTCAAGCATAAATATCCTATAAAAAAGAAAAAAACTGTGATATCATACCTGCAATACTTCATATCAGGGCAACCTGTCTGTCTGCCTCGAGTACGGCCCGAGTCGGTCCCGTCATCTCTAGTATCGCAGCTTCCATTAATGCCTCCACTAACCGTGCCAAGGCTCCTGCTGAAATTGTGTAACACAAGCGGTTCAAAATTTCACAACACGTCTAGATGTGCCCGACAGCTCAATGCCAGATTCAGCTCAATGCCAGATTTTTTTAAAGTATACAAATCAAAATAGAAAATCTCAATAATACTATTTCTTCTGTGCTGTATATCCTCCCAGTCTCAGCTTAGACCATTTGAGCTCTTGAAATATGGGTTTCCATATTTTTTTTCTCTCCCGAATAGCATCTCTTTTTGTCTTTTCCAATTTCCTCGTGGCTTTCTCAATCCTCTTCTGAAAAGTCTCCTCCTCTTTTTTTGCAGACCATTGCACGTGCTTGGTATATAGAAAGGATACCACCCTTTTGAACAGACCGTTGTGTACGGCTCTGGCGGTTTGCTTGAGCTTCCTCCGCAGCTTGTATGTTTTCTAGTTGCTGAGAAGTAAGTACTCCAGCCTGAGCCTGAGCCAGGCTTTCCTTAATAAAGTGAGTCAGATTAGACTTAAATATGAGGGAAGCAGGAAGAACAAGTTCTAAGTACTCCCCCTGCCATTTCAGGGATCAGACTGTAAGTTGAGTTGATAGACGTAGTGGAATACTGGGTGGTGGTAGTGTAGTAATAGGATAGTCTCATGCAGGCCTTCGATATTCCAGTAAACAGGATAGAACAAGGTCCAGATTGTATGGAATTAGACCGGTTTTCCGAAACACTAAATGAATAGTTCTTTTAAATGCTTGATTGCGAATAGAAGTTAATACTGATAGAAACCCAATTTTGTTAAAGTCAGAATAGCCTGTTCTTGTTGTACTATCAATGGCCTCCACATGATAGTATTTGAGGGGTTGGAAAACCACTACAACAAGGAGTTGGAGAAGATGGGTCGTATGGGGTAGGAGGCAAAAAGGGATAATTTTTCTCTCATCACAATAGGTTATAAAGTCCCTTGTATAGTGGAAGCTATAGCTATTGAGTAGGAGGAGACAGTAGACTCCCACCCGCCTTTGTTCTAAAAACTGATCGAAATGGTGCAGCCATTCTAGCCCTAAATGATCATTTGAATAGCCTGTTTCTGATACAGCCATTAAAACATTATCCTCCAAGTCTGTTTTTGTTATCTAATCCTCAAGGTGTAGCATTCCTGAAAGAATTACTATCAGGGGCAAAACAGATCCATCACCACTAATAACTTCACAGAAAGTTACTAGTTCAAGTTTATAGTTTGTTGAACTGCCTAAATAGGATTGCCGGTCTGGATCAAGGGTTACTATCCATTGGTCCTTGCTAACACCAATCCGAAATCCAGTTTTATCAAAATTATATATATTCTCCTTCTGAATTCCCTTCTCCCACAGATGGTGACTCGGATACTAATCAAACCAATCCAAAATATCATCTGGGTTGTGCAAGTTTTTCTAACCTGATTGAGACTCTTTTGCTTTTGAATATGAAACTCAGGATGGTGTATCAGAAACCTGTTCACCCATGCAGAGCTCACTGTTGGGATGGTACCAGGAGAGGTAGACTTGGATCTAGCAGTTGTGTATTTGGTGTGATGAATTGAATTTACTCAACCAATAATTGTTAGAAGTCATGCACAGGTTCCAATATAATCTAACCGTTTTAGATAAAGACACACCCAACTCCTTATTACTACTGAGTCTGTTATTTATTGGAACTTGTTTAGACTTCGTTGGGCATCCCTTCCATCTTCCATATAAGCTAGTCTCAAGAATACTAAATTCATGGGCAGTGGCAGCCATATTTGACCTATTGCTCTCAATTAAGCTCTGACAAGTAAGCTGGATCTGAACCTCAATCTCATTATAATTCTCGGGTGCTGTCATCTTTTTTTAGTTGAATAACAGGAGGGCTTTTCATGTACTTAATGAAAAATCTGGTGTTAAGCTGAATCTGGTATTGAGCTGTTGGGCACATCATAGACATGCTGTGAAATTTTGAACCACTTGCATTACATAATTTCAGCAGGAACCTTGGCATGGTTAGGGGTATTCAAAGTTGAAAAACTTGAAAAAAATTAGCTTACTTCCCTATTTCATGTAAGCTTAGCACATTCAGAAACAGTTAACTTATAATTATTCTAGCATACTAGACAATACATTTTGTTCTGGTAGATCCAGAGATGGAGAGGTTGGTAATGAGTAAATGTGAGTATTCAGTAATGAATGGAGAACTTCCTGTAGGATCTAGAAAAATTTAGAGGTTAGAAAATAGTTTGGAATGCAACTG